TCAGCGTTGTCCGAGTCAGAACGAGCTGCGACGACAGCAGCCGGACGCCGTCGAGCACAAGGACGGGGCCGTATCTGGACTCCTCGTACCCGGCGGTCGTCGGCACATACTGCGACCCACCAACCGTCGCGTGCAGCGACGAGTCCGCCAGCAGAACCCGCGACTTTGGCGGCAGCGTACCCTGCAGCACTATCGTGCCCTCCGTCAACGTCACGTTCGTCATGTTGACGACGGCGCGGGGCATCAGGTGCACCCTACCCTCGTCTAAGCCCACAATCCGCAGCTGCGCGCCGCCGGCAAGTACGCAGTGGCGCAGCGTCACGTTCAGCAGGCCAGCGAATGGGTCCATCGGGCCCAGCTCCACCGTCACGGTGATCGGCCCGCTGAACACCACTGAGTCGAAGCACACCGTCGCCTGGCCACCCCCAACCGCCATGGACTCCGTCAGCGTCACGCCACGCACACAGCCCTGCGCGCTACTGCCACCCTGCATCCGGAAAGGCATGGCGCGCGCCGTGGGCATCCAGGCACCCGCGGCAACGAGCGCCAGCACCACGAGCAGCGCCACAGGCACAGACGCAACGGTCCCGCGCTGCATGCGGTGCCGGTTGCGGCAACACCCACGCGCCGCAGTCCACATCCACTGAGCCAAGCAGAGATCGCCCGGGCCGCCGTGGCCTGTCAAACTTGCCTCGCTAACCGTACCTCCGGTTTGGCGCATAAATTCCTACAAATGATAAACCAAAAGAAACAAATTCGCTAAATGAGTCCCCTCCACTTCCTACTATTACCACTCCTATAATTAAACCTTAATAATATTAATGAATAGTTTTGGTTGTCAACACTGAGCGTCTCTTCCTGCGCAGTCAAAAAGAGGGAAGAGGCAGCAGAAACAGCAGCTAAGCATTGTGGCACGCAGAGGCACCCCGCCACAGAGACGCCCCGCACCAGCGGTGCCCCCGTCCTCCCAGCGGCTCACACAGCTCCACTCACCCACCGCACAAATGGGGAAAAAGCCGGGCAAAGAGCCATCCGACCACCGGCACCGCTCCTGCGTCCGAATGGCTCCACCACATAACTATACCGATGCCGTGGAAGACATGCAAGGGCTGATGCAGACCCGCCTGGTTGCGCCGCGACCGCCAGTCGTCGAGCGCGTCGGAGGGGGGAAGGGGTCGTCAGTTGCCAGTAGTCAAGGCGTCCGTTCTCACTCACGTTGGTCGGCATTGCAGAACAAACAGCGGCATCATGCGCACACAGCGCCCACAGGCGAGGCAGGGAAAACGCGACACGGCGGCAGCAGTCAGACACAAGGAACAAAAGGGGCCCGCATCAACTGTACGGTCCCACTGACTCATAAATGTCCTGTTTGCAGTCACGCAGCTGCCGCGCCGTGCCTCTGTGTGTGTGTGTCGGAGACCGTGGGAGGGGAAAGAGAGGAAAGAGGCTGTGCTGCCTTCATTGATCTTGGTTGGTTGTGGCACCGGTGAGGTCATCTCGGCAGATCGCCTGTAGCAAAGACGTTAGATGTAATCACTGGGCACAGGTGGCCGGAGAGTGAGGCTGCCGGGGGCTGCCTCTTTGAAGCGCTACAGTTGCCGACGGCAACTGAAGCACGTTGTCGCACGCCTTGTTCTGCGTGGCAATGCCACGCAGTTAGAAAGTGGTAGACACACGCGGTGAATGGGCACACCCGAATCCGCTGCACGTTGCCAGCCGTCCCCCGCTACGCCTCCACTTTGTGGATGGGTGGGGCAGCAACCTGCATCCGCCTCAGCAAGGAAAGATGTGAGGACTCAGCGTAGGGCACAAGGGAAAGGTGCAGTGGAGGAGGCACACCGACGCGCGCCAGAGGTATTTGAGCACAAACAGGGGAGAGGAAACGCAGGGGGCGCAGGAACTCATCACCGTAGCGGGGAGGAGAGTGAGGTCGCCACGGGGGGAGGACACCAGGCAAGGCAGTCAGGCCGGCACCCGCAAAGCAAATGTGTATGCCATCACAGGCAGCACCGCAGTGTCTCCAACGACCAGCGGAAGACAAAGTCGAACGTCCCGGAGACGCAGGTGCCGGCGGGGGGGGCGGACGACGGCGCGACACGGGTCGCTCTCGCATGCGAATCGTCCAGCTGCTCGTTGCTGCACACGGCCGGGGCACCCTGCACGTTCGCAACAGTGATGTGTGGATGGGCGTTTTTGCATGGGCACTCGCACTCGATCGCCGTCCATTCGCGTCTGACACAACGAACGTCGGCGTGAGCTGAATGAACGCATCACGCAACCTCACCAGCTGCTGCTGCTGCACCGGGTCCTTGCAGCCGCCACCTCCAATGTACAGTGTCGTCAGATGGAAGACCGCCTGCACCTACTTGCCATCCAGCATCTCCGGCGGCACCAGCCCGAGAACCTGCTTGGACAACGCAAACTGAATCGCAGCGTGCCCCACGGGGCGGGGACAAAGACGAGAAAAGACTCATAGGTGCTCGCCACCCTCAACGCGGCTGCCATATCGAGTGCCTGGAATTCCGGCATGTCGGCCGTACCATGCGGGGAGAGTTCCTCCCACACGCACCACACGACGGTGGCCGTGTCGCCTGCCACTTTGACTTCGATGAACAGGCCTTCTGTTGGTGGGCGGCACTGCATCGCACAGCCCCGCGGTATGCTGCGCACGCCCCACCCCTAGCCTTCGTCCGCTCTGAAAGTGCGGTGGGCATAAGCACGGCAGCAGACTCAGTCGAAGCAGACAGCTACCAGCGCTTCCGTGCCACCGGGGTGTGACCATGCCACCGTCACGGTGATCAACCAAGACAGGCGTGGCGTAGTCGTCGCGCGCACCAATCGCGTCAAGAAACTGCCGCCTTCCGCAGGCCTCGTCCTGGTTGACCCAGCACGGCGAAAGACCGGCCCGTCGCAGCAGCGTGTACAGGGCGCAGGAGAATGTGGACTGGCCGCAACCCTGCGAGCCAACGCAAACGACAACGTCCGAGCCGCTGGTGGCGACGTCGCCAGCGGACGGCTCATAGTGAGCCACCAGGGATCGCTGGTGCGCATCGACGGCGGCGCATATCCTGCAGCCCGCCGAGATCCCCGTCCGTGCCGCTTGCCGCCATGTCACACGCGGCCACACCGCAAACTGCACGAGGAAGCCGCGATGTGTCGTCTCCCAGTCGCCAAGGCACTGACGCACCTCCTTCGGCAGCCCAGCGAGCCTCTTCGCAACCCTCGAGCGGAGTGCCGCGCCGCTTAGACAGTGCCTCGCGATGGTCTCTTGCGCCGCCCGCTCCATTGCGAATGCGTGTGACCGAGGTCTCCACGTCCGCACCACAAACCCCCGCCCCACGGCAGCCGTACATCACTGCGCCCTTGCAGCTGAGATGGCGCGCAACCTCGTCTTGCAAGACCGCGTATTCGCCTGACGCCAGCTCCACCGCCGATTGGGGCGTCACAGCGTTAAGGCCTAAGGACTGCAGCGCCTTCATGCTGCTCGCGGGGTCGACGCGGAGGCCGCCTCGCGGTGAGTAAGCGCATGGAACCCTAGTGTCTCGCAGGGCCCGTGATCGACGAGGTGCCCAGACTCCCGCAGAATGGCCGCAAAGCATGCGGTGTACCCCGGGGTGCTCAAGCAGTCGTGTAGGGCGGCGGCCGCCCCCCACTGGCAGCGCACGCAACGTGTCCCGCCAGACGCACACCACGCGCTCTGGCACCGCGGCGCGCCATGAGACGCCCGCACCGCCACCCCAGAGGGCGAGATCCTCCTCCGGCACAGCAAAGCGCACCAACATGTGCACCTCATCGGTGCCTACCAACCAATAGGGCGCGCCATCGTGCGCAAAGGCAGCCACGTGGCCGCTCTCCCCATCGAACGCCTCAAGTGCCACCGCCGCAACAGGCGTCCCACGAACCACACCGTACGACTGGTCAAAGTCACCAAACTTCCGAGGGCCCAAAACAGCCGCCACCAACTGAGGCGGGCGCTGCTGCCCGGGCACCGCAACCGAGACGCGTGCCCGGCCGCAGGGAACATGATCCCACAACATGCCGTTCGCACGGTACACCGCGTCGTTGCAGACAACGACCGTGCGCTCTACCACAATGAAGTAGACCCCAGCGAGTGTGTGGCAAGTGGTCCGCACACGCACTCTACTGCTGTGCGGAAATGCATTGCGAAACGCGGACCGAGTACAACTCTCCTGCACCCCCACTTGGACCCGTGCAGCGGCGTCAGCGGCGGCAGAACTGTCTGCGTGGCCGCCGCTCCCTACGCCACGCACCCCGCCATTCTTGTGGCGCTGCGTCGCACCCCGCCTCTCTTGAAAAAAGTTGCGGCCGCACCGCCCACAGCGCGCGTCACTGCGGTGCAGCCCCGACTCCGCGCAGCCCCACGTCTCCCAGTAAACATTCGTGCGAACCAATTATTGTACAAACGCACGGGGAGGCAAAATCCGTCATCGCCGTGCAGTCCGGTAGAGGCAACAGCAAAGGAGCGGGAACCACAACACACGACACGCCCCCCACCCGCAGATGTTACTTTTTCTTCTTCCTTTCTCCAACACGCCTCTGAGTCAGCCCCACCACCCGCTTCGTCGCCCTCTTTTGCCGACATCCACAGGATCATCTTGCAGATACCGAGGAAGTGCTCCACAGCCGCATCCATAACGTTGCCCCACCGCACCTACCACTCAGATAAGACGTGCCCGTACAACGACATCCACGGCAAGGTCCTTGACCGCGGCGCTGTGCAGCCCACCCCTGCCATACTTCGCTGCCACCTCCGCGTCAATATCGTCGCCCGGCAGAAAACCCGAATGAACTGATACACCACATCTGCGTGCCGGTTGGCGCCCTTCCCACGCATGTCCTCCAACGTGCCACCCCCACCAGAGAAGGCCCTGCACATCTTCCGGTGCACCTCCGGCTCCGTGTCGTGGAGCGTGATGACGCCATTCGCCTCCGCGCTGCTGCCCATCTTGAACCACAGCTCCTTCAGTGCGGGGGCTGGGCACTTCATACGCGAAGTGCCACGTTGCGTGTCAGGAGGAAAAATGGGTCCTGATCGATTGCGCAAGAAACAACACACTGCAGCAGTCGCTCCTCGGCTGGCCACCGCAGCACCCATGGGAAGGCGCCGCCAAAACATGGCGCGGCCTGCACCGCTGGAAAGGCCGGCTTCCCCACATTGCCACTGTTCCTCAGGTCAAACGTATTCTTAACAGCACTCAGAGTCAGCATGCGCCGCACCCGCATAACAGTTGGGTCCATGTCCCCCGTGTACGCCGTGTTGCGGAATACAAACGTCTTGCAGGGGCCGAAGCCAAAGGCGATGATGTCCTTTATGTTCTCCACCGCCAACTCACTCGCCCTCGCCCCGCCGACGGGAATGTCGCGGAAAAAATACTTCTCATCGTCGGCTATCTGAACTACCAGCGAAAGACCAAGCGCATCCTGCAGGTACCGCGTGAGGACAAACGGCGTGGCGTGGCCAATGTGCATCGACCGCGCGGTGTGCCCCCGTCGTGAAGGACGCACGCACGCTCCCGAGGGTGCCTCCAAAGTCTCTGTGAGAAAAGACAATGCCGCGGAGAAAGAAGTGGTGTAAATGCCTTTGGCTCTTCCACAGCACTGATTGCCTGCGCTCGCCCCGCCCTTTCGGGTGTAGGCTCCCCGCCGCTGCACAGTGGGGGGGACAGACCCCTGCGGCTATCGGCACACCGCACCTCCGCAAGCAAACTGCGACGCCGTGCGGTGATGCGGCGGCAATTGAGTCATGCAACGGCATATCCGAGAGAGAAAAACAAAACCTCTGCAGGGTTCCTTCTCTCACCCCACTCCGGTCTGTATGTATAGCCGTGAGCGTGAACCACGCAAGCCCCCGGCACCAACTGGCTTCCAACGGCAAGCACGCGAAGCGGAAAGAAGCCCACTATGGCAGCAACGCCACATGGGCCCTTTTCTCGCCCGTGCACCGGCGCAGGAGTATGACATCTCACTTATCTCTCTTTCCCTACCTTTCTCTCCCTCGATCCCACTCTCGGATGCCCAATTTGTCTGCGAGGAAACGTGGAACGTCGACAGCGCTCTGTTTCCGCCCTGCTTCACCCACCCGGTCTCGACTGCACCGTCACCGCTGAGACCCGATCAAATCCTTCTCGCTGAAGCACCTTCACCTTTTGCGACAGCCCCTCGTGTGTTGCGGCGTTCTCCGCGTAATGCAAGGAGACGACCTCGTCGTTGATGACAGTTGTGAACGGCGGAGCGTCGCTCTCCGTCTGACGCAGCTCCCCACCCCAAGACTGCGGAGCCACGAGGCTGTAACGAAGACAACCATTGGCTGCATATCTATGTTGTACCGTTGACAATCCCGTCGCATATGCAAGCTGAAAGGCACACCGTACCGACGACTAGCCGCGCTGAAAAAAAGGGTGGGGGCATGTCTCACGTGCCACCTTCTCCGAATCCTCCAGCTGCGCCGCATTGTAAAGCATGAAGAGATCCGTCTCTGCTGCACCCGAGACGGGCGGTGAGCTTGTGTGTGGCCGCCTCATGATGAGAATCCCACACACACCCTGAAAAGGCTGCATCGCCGTACTGAGAATAGCTGCCTCTTCCTCGGTGATCCAGCGCTGCAGTGTGTACTGTACATACGTGAAATCTAACTGAAGCGCGCGCTAAATGTGCCGTGAGTGCGGCCGTCCTGCAGCGCTGAGCGGCACGTCACGCCACTCCGGCCACCTTTCCTCTCCACCCTTCAGCAAAGACGGGAATGCCCCATCCGGGGTGCCGGTCTGCTCGAGGTTGTACCGTGTGACGGGTTGCACCATCGTAGGGACCTCCACCCCCGCCTCACCCTCCTTCACGGTGCGGCCGCAGCGCGCCAGAGCCGCCCCCGTTGCCCACACAGAAGACCAAAACTGTCGTGCCGCGGCCACGTCGCACAGCCGCTGCGCCACCTCCCCCTCGTACAGCGTCCCGCGAAGATTCACCGGTTTGTAGAAGGGAGCCACCTCACCCCTCGCAGCACCGTCTGCCGCTGCGGTGGACGCCGCCTCCTTCGGGGGCGTCTCAGCTTGTGGCGCAAAAGCCACCACCGCCTCGCCACGTGCCCCACGCTCTGTTTCCGGCACCACGGCCCCACACGCCGCAGTCACCCCCAACGTTTTGTCCTGGGTCTCTCTCATGGCTGCAAAGACGGCCGAATGCGGCCGTGACGAAGACGCCGCCCGCAGCAGCGAGAAGGCAACAATGGCAGAGAAACGAATCTTTCCGGTGGCAAGCATCGCCCCCGCCGCCGCTGCTGCTGCTGCTTCCATCCCTCCTCCTCCCTGACTGTGCTTGTGTGGCTGGCTGCAGGGTTGTCCGCGTGCTTCGTCGCTTGTCACGGTTGGGAGAAGGAAAAAAAGAGAAGTGTTTGGCGCTGCTGCCGACACGGAGACGAGAAGGCGGGCTCGTGACGCACAAAACTCAAGGCAACGTCAAGGATGGAAGACGTACCAGAAGAAAAGGAGTGAGGCAGAGGTAGATATATGGAGATAGATGGAGAGATCAAGGCCCCAACCATCCCCCGCTGGGCCGTCAGCGAACACCCCTCCCAGGAGAACGCACCGCAGTGACTACCTTTCTTTCTCCCTTTTTTCTCTCTCCTCGTTGTGCTTTCTGATTTCCTCCTCATCCCCCTTATCGGTGCTGCTGCGTAGCACTCACGTCTGTTTTTTTTTTTTGTGCGTCCCGCGACTTTCACCACCTGCGCAGACAACAGGCGCCGTGCCACCGTCACCTCCGCAGCCACATCTGCACCGGGCAGTGGTCGCTCCCCATCACGTGCGGCATCGTGAAGCAGTCCACGACACGGTGGGCCAGCGCGGCGGAGACAACGAAGTAGTCCAGGCGCCATCCAAGGCCCCGGGCCCGGCCGTTGATGCGCGCGGACCAGAAGGTGAAAACAGGTGCCGCCCGTGGGTAGAGCTCACGGAAGGTGTCCACCGCATTCGTCACACGCAGCGTCTGCCGGAACGAGGCCCGCTCCTCGGGCGTGAAACCACTGCACTTCTGCATCGCCTTGAAGGTGCCAGCGAAGTAGCGGTCGTAGTCACGCTCGGCGACGTTCAGGTCGCCTGTCCAAATGAACCCTGCGAGTGGCGCTGTGCCGTCCGCCCGCGTGGCGGCTTTGCAGGAACGCCCCAAGGCGCACAGGTGCTGCCGGATCTTCACATCAAACGTCTGACAACGGTACGTGAGGCGCTCCAGCGCCATACCACTGTTGGGGATGTATGTGTTTACTAGCGCCAGCGCAAAGGCGTCGTTGCCCTTGCCTTGTGTACCAAAGTACGTGGTAATCACACGCCCCTCATCGTCACCGTCACTCTGACCGACATTCCGCGGGGTGCTCAGGGTAGCAAACCCCTTCACACTAACCGCCCTCCAGGCCGCGTCCGCCGTGGCCTTGATGTACGTGCGCGTGCCAGAGTACCCCTTCTTTGCGCGGCAGGCGTGGTCGACGAAGCGGTACCCTGGCGCCTCGCCCAGCTTCGCGTTCTGTGGGTCCTCCGGATTCAGCTTCGTCTCCTGCAGGCACAACGCGTCAGGTTGCTCCTCCTCGAGCAGACGCTGAATGGCCTGGCCATCCTTCCGAAGCAGCCCGCGCAGGCCGGCAACGTTCCACGTGATGAACTTCAGCATCTGTGTGCCGTCGAAGTCCTGCGGCACCGTCCGGCGCTTGAACGGCTCCACTTGGCTCCAAATGCTTTGCTCCGTCCTCTTCGCGTTGTCGCCCTCCGCCGGCGAGGCTGTAGCAAGGGCGGCGTCATCGGCGGGCAACGACGGCGTCGGCGTCCGGCTGCGGGTGAAGCGCCGGGTGGGTTTCTTCGGCGGTGTGGCGGGTGGGGACAGACTCCGTGTCCGCTTCACCGCCCCCGCAGCCAACGGCTTCTCCTCTCTGGGGATCGACGGCATAACACACTCGGGACACGTCTGCACGGCAGGCGGGCAGCGACCAAACGACGCGCGCAGAAGCGGCAGAAAATAAAAACAAAAGAAGAAAAGGAGCAAACAAACAAAAAGTTGTACACGCATAGCGGCACTGCTGTCACGGGCGGAAGTAGCCACCTGCGCCTTTTGCTCTTCAGGCATAGCCCGTTCCGCATGGGCCTCAAGGCCGGCCCACCGAAGAAGCGCGTCCCCCACACTTATCTTGGCCCTACAAAACCCTATTCCTGTCCTCGTGCAATATAAACTCCCCCCCTGCAGTTTGCCTCCTGCACAGTTGAAATCGCGCTAACACACATTTTTTCCATCACCCCAATTATCCCCCCAAACACACACACATACACATACACATATACATATACA